GTCAATATATACCGTTTTACTGTTTTTTCTAATTTTGAATGGAATGCCATTAATTGACGAACATTCTTTCGCACTGCTCCATAACTTTGTCGATGTTGTCTTGCTGACGGTGTATTCGGCGTCTCGGGCGATTCTATATGGAAGAAAAATTTAGCGAAACGATTCGCTTCGTACTATATAGATATTTCTGAATACCATGCCCATCTGATAAGATTTCGCCGTTGATTCTAAATACAATATCTTTGAAGTTTATTTCACGTAGATTTTGTCGAACTGAATTCGATAATTCACGCCAACTCGATGGTATAGCAAAAGGAGGATCTGGTATGGCAAATGGACCAAAACCTATAGAAAGTACATTTGATCCCCAATGATATAAACAGATTTGGAAAAACATCTAGTTTTACCTTTCATATTTCCAGCTGATACTCTTACATAACATGGTATACCAACCGGTAAATTTCGGATAACATATTCGCTTTGAATACAATTTTTAATAATCTGTGAGTGAAACCGTTCACTAAAGTCTTCCGATGACGACCAATCAACTAAAAATGTATTAGACTTTTACTTTATCAATGGAGATCTGCACGGGCAAGATTTTTTTGCTCGTGTCCGTAGTTCTGTCTAGGGTGCTTGTTCGTGCCGATCCGTGGATGTTTTTCGCTGTACGCGCTTGTCTGTCTCCTTGCAGAAAAAAATGTTTTTTTCTCTCTGTGACACGATGTGTCACAGTGGTGATGTTTTTTTTTTGTAAAATCTCTGCTCGTCCATCCCCACCTATGTCTTTTTCGAGTCTGTCTGCGCCCGTCCATACTCGCGGACAGTACGGCCATGCCCGTGCAAATCTCTATTTACCGAGGTGTTATGAAAATTAATCGACTAATACCACATGTGATACGTTAATAGAAGATTTAGTTATTAGTTTGAAGAGAGACATGTATTTGACGTATCTATTATTTTTGAAAGATATTCCAAACATTCAACCTTTATATTTTGTCACCGTTGCGCCATGGTTTCGTATTGGTTCTTCATAGAACAGTGTAAGATAATTTGGTCCTGTAACGAATAACTTCACACACGTTGGAGCATCCGGAGCACCTAAAAAACAAATTACTGGATGAAGATATACACTATATAACTGTAACTAGAATATGAATACGTTAGAGACTAGATAGGTTCTTGAAAAAACATATTATTTCATAAAATAGACTGAAGAACACGTGAATGATTGATCATTTCACAAAGAGCAGACGAGATGGTGCTAGAGGAAAAACTTGACTAAATAGGTTCGTTCTACTTAATAAAGTTGAATGTGAAGTTCTTAATATACTAAACGAGATGCTGGGCAAAAAAACACACTTTAGTTTCACAAGCAAAGTTTTGGAATACTTTTCCAAAGGTATTATCAGCTTATGATCAACCAGACGCTCGTTGGAAACGTAGATATGATATATCTAACATGTTGAAGATATACTACATGACAATAGTTTCTGGTCAATTGGATTTATTAAAACTATGAATGGAGGATGAATGTCGCTAAAACACAGTTTTCGATATTTATAAAACTATTTTCGGATTTTAAACAATCCGGCATTAGTCTGGATAATGCAATATCCACTGTTGATCAGTTTTACTCTTTTAAAAACTTGTTATAAATGTTAAAGAAACTTAACTTTTATTATTCATAGCGTATTTTAGTCTTTTGTTCCTAGCTTCGTAGTTTCGAATTAAAATAAAAAATATTTATTTACATCGGCTAGATGGTAAAGGTAATCTATGTACAATAATAGATCAAGAAACGATTGTTCTCACACTCGCATTTGGATATGTCAACACACTAGAATATATGATTCATTTTTGTTCCTCTGCCTATTCCACACTTAACAACATCATATACACCAATAAAAGAACGAGTGATACTTTCACTGATTCAGATAACTGAATATTTGAATCAGTGCTATGAGCTCCTGTTACGAGGAGGTTCAACAACAACCATTATTTGATCAAATGTTATCTCTCTCCTCTCTTTATTGTTTTGTGGGAGAGACATCTATAGAAAAACGTCTTATGGTCTATATTTTCGAGGCAACAAGTTGAGACAAAACTCTTAAGATCTTAAATTTTTGAATAGTTACTTGCTTTTATCAAGATCTTATGAAGAAAATATATAACGACAAGTTTTTTCTACAACCTGATGAAGTTTCATCAAAGATGTTGTCCTAATTTTGAACTAACGAATGGCTTAACACTCCTTACAACAACGTTAATCTTAATACAAATGCAAAAGAAAAGTAAGATAGTCATACACTCTTCAGGTTTCTAGAGAGCTGTTATTTCGAAGACTGAGAATAAAACTAATGAATGAACCGAGTAGTGCAGCCTCATTTTGGTTTAGTACAAATGCTATCCGATACCAATAAAAAGTTATCGATCAAGTTATATATCATTTATAGATGTCTGTCTGATCAGAGTTATTTCGATTCGAACTTCAAAATTAGATTAGGCAACAACATCGCTAATAGAGTTTTCTGCTTAAAATCAGTCTACAAAACACTTAAAAACTTACGTTTTGAATGGTCGATATCAATAGTTAACAACCTCCATTTTGATTTAGTTATAAACTGTAAACATGTTTTAACAACAATAGCCCGAGAACGAAATCTGGTACCGGTTGGCGATGCCACTGACGAGACTAAATTTGATGTCGATATCAATGTTTGAGTACTGCTCGCTTCTTCTACCGTTGCAGAGTGATTATCATTGAACTTGTTGCCACTCATCTTTTTTCAAAACCGACATGTATGGGTGTGAAACAACAGCAACAAATATGTAATTATTGCGATTCGTGATAAAAATCAGCTTTCTTATACACGTGTGTATAAGTAAATATTAATATTAGAAAATCTTTATACAATTAATTTAGTCACTTTTCTTCTCGATAACATTTTGTTAAAACTGGAAGAAAGTTTTTCACGAATAAGTTTTAACACATCCAGTTTCTATTTTTTTCTACTTTTTGTCTATTCTATTAATATATTCTAAAAGCAATCAGCGATTTCTCTTTCTTTCTCTTTCATTAACTTTTCTTTTTCTCTTTCACGAATGTGAGAATAAAAATCTTTTTTGAAATCCTAGACAAAAGAGAAGGAACATCATTTCTATTATTCTCTCTACTATATCCGGTGAGATAGTAAGAAAAAATAAAGGATATTTTTGATTAATTTTAAAAATGATAATGATAATGATGATGTGGACGATTATATCACGGCTAATAAACACTAATAACACAGATCATATCACATTAAGCAGAGGACTCTTTCAATAATTTGAGGATGGTTTTTGGTAACGATGTGTGCTTGTATTCAAAATAATTAATGACTTACGAAAAAAGGAGTTTATTTTGACGACCATCACTTATCAGTTATGAATACAAAGGATCATAAAGATGTGAGATCCGTACTTTATTAAAAAAATAACAGGAGTCACAGAAAAACGGAACTTTACAATTCAACTCACATATGATCGATTCATATTATGAAAGAAAACGCCTTTATAAAAGTTACCCAAGAAAACTATTTTATATCGGACGTATAAAGAGCATAGCAGATCAATTTTGTACGTAAAATATCCAGCACTTTGACAACAGCGGTCAACCGTCTTTTAAAACGTGTTAAAAAGTCGCGTAGCATGACCGTTTATATCTCATTGTTATAGATTTAACTGCGTAGAGCTAAGAATGCTTCGTGATCGAAAAGTGACTGTTAATCCACTGTTAACACATCCATTTTGAATGCTTTGAGCTGGAAAACTTAGGTACGAAAACGCTTCTTGTGTGTTAGAGTGCGTTTCCTTGAAGTATTCTGAACTATGAATAATCTTTGCAGCTTGATATAACGATTCTTATACTTAAGTGTTCCTGCTGACTCTTTTGACAGATCTATTCACAAATCTTTGATAAAAGACAGCGTGTTTAGATTAATATGTAGAACTCGTTGAGTCCCCATGTGGCAAAACTTTCGAAAACAACAAACAAGTTTGCTAATTCATACAATTTTGGATAGGAAAAGCTGAGAAATTCAACTGTCCCTCCAAATTAGACAGTAAAAACTTTCATCACTATGTTAAAAACGTGTACAGCAATATTCAAAGTTTTGCCATATGGGAACTCGATGAGTTCTACATATTAATCTAAATACGCTGTCTTGTATCAAAGATTTGTCAGTAGACTCACTTTGTCAATAATCCCGGAGAACACATGAGTGTGAGGATCATGATCAGCAACAAAAATTGTCCATAATCAAGTATATTTCGAGGAAAACGCAGTCTGACAAAAAAAATCAACCAAGTGAAAAATCTTTAATGCAAATGTTGATAGATCTTTAAAAGAATTATTCAGTATCGTCCCAGATTGTTGAATTTTTTGATATTATCGAAATCTTTCCAGATTCCGAACCTTACTTGTATCAAGTTCAACATTTTCCACAATTTTTGTATCAAAATTTATTTGAACAATTCTTCATCAAGATTTGCAACAGGTTCTGACTGATTAATTATATTCGGATTACATTAATTACTCCGAATATTAACAGATTTGAACATTCAGAAAGAAATCTTCTACGTTTTCGCCATCTTTCGGTTTTTTCTATCGCTTCACTACAATTGAAGCTCTTCAAGACTATACAAACGACATCGGAGCTAATAATCATTTCGTAATTAAAGTAGCTACTGATTTTCTTTGTTAGCAAAGATTTTGTTAATTACAGAAAAAGTCTGAAATGTTTTTAAGACATCTTCGAGTCAGGTTCTACAAAATCCCTTATCAGCCTCGTGGTCAAGACTTTTGCAGGCAGATGTTTCAGAGAAGTTTCTGCAGAACACAGGAAATGGTCCCGAACACATCGCTTATTGATTCTTATTGCATTATTTTCAAGTGGTTAACAGTGCATGTCTTGTCAATTCTTTCATAGGCCATACGTGGAACGTCAGAAGCTCAGTATACTTGATCAGAGTGTGAGTTGTATGTACGTATCAGACTAGGCGTATGACCGGAACTAAAGTTAAGGACCAGTAATGGCAGTCTCAAAGTGGACGTTCTACTTCTTATTTCCAATTTTTATCTTTAGTCGCCTCACATGTAGATTTGATCTCATTTATGCTCGTGCTGACGATAAGAGTGTTGATTAAATAGAAATGACACTTTTCTTTTGTAATTTAATCTTCTTTTCTCGAAAAAGTGGAATATTTTTCGCTATCAAATAGCGTTAATCGCGCATGATTCTCACTCTTACGCCAGTGAGCTCAAGAAAACCGCTTATATTAAATCATAGTCAAATATTTTAATTTTCAAATGTTGAGAAAAAATTTATGATTCAATTAGGCAAGAGGATTTCTCGAAGAATAAACTTTAAGGTGAAACTGAAGTAATGAAAGAGAAATGAAATCAAAGGAATATATAATTTGTAAAGATGTCGAAAAGAAGTTGAAAATCTCATACTCTGAAATTATGCGGTAAAATTATTTTATGAAAAAAAAGTGTGAACATTCTCTGACTCTAATTAGATAGTTTAGATCTTTCTGATTAGATTTCAAAAAAAATATTCTCATTTACAGAAAGGAAGATGGAGGTCAATTCTTTTTTAAAAGCTGCTCTACTTATTGTCCGAATGTGCTCAAATTTTCTCTTGTGAAAAGGATCCGATTTATGAAAAACTCACGTTGATTGCTAATACAGCGTTGATTTCCACCAGTAGACTCTCATTATCCGATCAGGATATATTCTGTTTTGTGGTTTATTCCAATAATGAAATTTTTGAAAAAAATTTGTATACCGAACGAAATATTGGCGTAATTTATTTTGTGAAAAACGTGATCGATCGGAAGAAAGTCTCACCTACAAGGAAAATAGAATGTAGTGCGTTTTTTCACACTTTTCTAACAGGGAAGAAAATCTATTTTCTGCATAAATGTCAGAATTTTTGCGCTAACAAAGTATAGCTGAAAATATATTGCTTTATAGTTCGCTCGAATGGTATGCTTTTTGGGAAGAATCTGATCGAGATATAAGTACATCCCAAACAGACCCCACATTTCGATTAGGTCATAGTACGTGATATTTGGCATTCCAGAGTCACTGTGAAAATGGGATCATTATGTTAACGTCTTTTTCTCCGGCTCTCAACAGAGATAGAGGGCATTTAGTCATACTTTTTAGTATTAAACGCAATCCGATCTCGTCTATAGCCAATAGTGAAAGTTGTCGTAAGTTAAAAAAACAGTCTGATTCGATTTATGATGATACTATGACTTTACTTTCACAGGTAATCGAATGTACTCTATCGGAATATTTGACTATTTGAAAGACGTGGGCGGGTAAACTAGGAAATCGTTCCTTGATGATATCGATCTTTTTCAATTGGAAAAATGTCAGAAGCTCAATTTGTACTAACAGGTGGGGCGAAATTTTTTCACAAAATGGTTGCCCAATTTTCTCGTGCTTAGAAAAGTTTTGAGAAAACCCAAAATACGTGATTTACAATCGTTATTCAAACGCCTTTGATCATTCTTTGATGCTAAGCAGCAAGATCATCTTTAAAAGTCTCAAATAAAACGCTTGGACAGTATTTTTTCATCACTTCTCTGTATTTTGATCCTTGTGTCTTAGATGTTTTTTTGTTTGACTATTTATATACACCAGTTTGTAGAGCAAACATTTCCCTACTAAACTGTATAGTTGAAATGCTTTTCAATTGTCGGAAACACCTTCATATTTTCCGTTTACACAAAGTCTCATATTCAAAACATGCCATTTTTGCTCAAATTGTGGTTTAGGTAAGTAGTAGTCAAGATGCTTAGAACTTTTTTATTCTGCCGACTCTGAAAAAGTTCGATATACCATTGCGTAGAGAAATGTTCACGCTACAAAACTGCATAAAGAAATCTTAGTCAGAGCGTTTTGTAAAACCACAGTTTCTTTTATATGTTCAGGTTTTCAAAGATGATTTTGTTGCTTAGCATCACAGAATGATCAAAGGCGTTTGTACAGCGGCTGTAAACCACCGATATTTTTGATTTTCCAAAATCTTTCTAAGTACGAGAAAAATGGGCGAACATTTTGTGAAATAATTTCGCCCGTTTCGTGTTTGGAAACATAACTCGTTTACGTTAACAGGTCGAAAAAGCCCGGAACACATTCTGTAATCAGGAAAAAGCAGGTGATATTCGAGAGCAGCGTAAAAATATGCATCTAATCCATGACGTCTCACAAAAGCTTGGAAAAGAAGTTTTCAAAAATCCTGGAGACTGCAAAGGCTTCAAAAGTTTCGTATCGCAATTCCACCGAATTAAGCAGTGAAAATTGATCTTCTGACATATTTTTATTTGAAAAAAATCGATATCATTGTGGGAGAATTTTCTGGCTTACTGTTCTCCCCATCTCATTTGTTTTGAAAACGTTATAGGATCGAAAAGATCATGTTTATCTCTTTTCAAGCTTAAAACTATATAGAGAAAGATCACTACTTTCTTTAGATTTTAGATAGACTGCAAAACATAAGTAACATACAAATGAAAACGATATCTTTCGATTAAATCTCCATAGATCAATTCTATAACTTAACGTTACGTAAAAACAAACTGTTGAATGGACTCAGATAGCAAAAGTGAACACTTCTTTCTACAAAGTTTTATTAGATGAAAATAAATTCACTTATATTCGAATGCTTTCGTCTTCTATTTGTCAAGACTTTTTCTTCTGTTATTTCAATTAGTATATCTAAGGATT